ACTTCAGCATCGGAGGAAGAAGATGAAAATGTGACGACCTATGAACAGAGATGGTCGCAGGTTTCTCTCTAGCACAAGTTCCCCTGGTGTATGATCATACCAGAGCTAATGGCTCGAATTTAAGTGTAACGAGTAGCTTCTTTCTTCAAGAGGGAATCGTGACCATGCGCTCTCTGTACCTAGTAGCAATGACACAGCCTTGCTAGTAGCGGTAATAAACTCAAATTCAGCCGCGCTTGCATTTGTCAGGTGATTATCGTTATGTGATTGTTGTACAAGGTTGCTGCATAAGGAGGGTTACCCCTGGTTGTGTGACTGCGGGCTTTAGTGAATGGCTTGGCTAGTGATGCGGTACTGCCTTCGTGGCTACGTTCCCATACGCCTTGATTAGCCTTATCTGCTCTGATTTAGGATTCCAGTCATCCCGACTAACCTCCGCTCTCTCCATAAAGATCGATTATGGCATGCATACGCAGGAATCCGTGAGCTTTGCAAGGTTCAAATGCGCACAAATACGGGTATTCGTGCCGCAAGGTGTCTTTCGGGAACAGCCCCTTCATACCCCTCTTTATACCTAATACTTCAACTTCAAGCTCCCGATACAATAATCGCCAGCCCTTACAAAGAACACAAATTCTTTAAGCCATGTTCGATCACCCTGGATTTTATCAGCGAATGTGTCCTAACTTCCACACAACTCAGTCGACTATGCCTCCTGCTTCACCGCCCTCACTCGCCCAGGAAGCCTATTCCCAGATTCCGGAGCTCCAGAAACAGGTTCGAGATCTCAGAACAAATCTCAAGCAGGAGCAGACTGCCAATGCATACCTTGGTGTTATGCCCGCAAGCCAGCCCTGGGACAGCTTAGTATCGACCGACTCAACAACGAAAAGGCATCAACCGATGGAAATTGGCAAGGCTGCCAGGAACTTTCTATCTGAAGGCAACAAAGGCGATGTTAGGAAGAGAAAGCGCGTGTGTTTCACGCAAGAGTAAGCGCCCCGAAACCTCAGAAATGTGCACCCGAACTAACGCTAAGGAGCCGAGTTCCAGTTCGTTCTTTTCCTACTGAGGTTAACTGGGGTGGATCGGCGGTTGAGGTATATCTCAAGGTCCCGTTGTCGAGCAAGATTCAACCACCTGAGTCTTTCATGACATTGTGGGGTCTTGTTGAGTGGCTGACTAACCGCATCAACGGTACCAATGGCCGCGGCGCTACTGAAGAGAAGGCTGCGTTGCAGAAGATCTCAGAATGGGCTGCAAAAATACATGGTCACCTCGATGCTGACAACACACAACGACGGATTTTCTTGGTCAGCTTAATTGGAAAGCAGGTAAAGCTAAATTCGGGCGCCTACTTGAAGCTAGTTGGCATGATTGAAGGCGAGTTTGCGGTACAAGATACAGAGGGCGTGAATCACATTGTGGGAAAGCATGTAGAACTGGAAAGTATGCAACCATATGCATCTGTGTAATCCTCGTCGGACGGCGATGGATTAGGGAACGTAGTTAAATTAATGTGCTCTACTTTCTTAACTCGACCTTGGAGCTACGTCTTGTTAACTAGCAGTGTTGCTAGCAAACGTTTAGTGGTATTACCTCTTCGCTGTTGCGACGCTTTATCCTAAAGCTATGTTAAATGAGCGATGAATGCACCAAAGCAATCCCGCCCTATAAACAGGCATATCTCAAATACCCCAACAAATAAGGTTGCGTGTCTATCTCATAGATAAGTCGCTAGTACATTATTCAATATGAGTTTTGCTACCGCTAACTACACCTTTTCCGCATAATATTCGCATATGTTAGCGTAACTTGTTTTGCAGGCTTATTTTCGGAGACAGGTGCGTCTGCAACCAGGACGGGTCGGAGAGACAAAAATGACAGTATGATCTGGACGGGCATGCACAGTAAGAGAGAACAGGACTGGCAGTAGGCCTTCTATAGGCAGAGGAGTCATAGATATTAAGTGAGATAACATTATCAATTCATTGAGACTGTGAAGGGCTTGCGGTGTCAATATGCTAAGGAGCTATAGAATCCTGTGACATGGCTAGCGTTGGGACAAGTGCGCCAGGCGGAAATGTAACATGTATCGCCGATCATTATCGCCTCCTATGCCACTCGTATCGGTGCGGCGCTGGCTGTGTCCCCGGGACGAAAGTGGGCAGCCGGAAGGCGTAGACTGGTGAAACCTCTGAACCGGGATGCTTCTTGCATTAGTTGCGGGTAACTGCAACCTGACTAAATTAATTCCCAACTTCCGTCCTTGCATCATATGGGGCTTCTAGTGTGCCGAATTTCCCCAAAGTGCGCAATTGGCTTGCTCTAAGGTCTTTCCTATACGACATAATGACAGCTACATGTCATCCTCCTCCGGCCTGGGAAATGACGGAGGCCTCCTCAACATTCTGCCTTGTGGCGCTTTCAGCCCGCGTGCCATGGGCAGGGGGATCACGAACTGGACTGACTTCTGGGTGTTGGACACGCGTATCAAAGAATGGGGAAGGGGTCAGCAACACCTATTGAGATTCGACAGAGGTGAGCTATGTGGATCAGCGTTACGTCAAAAGGTTCGCTTGCCTGTTTGCCTGCTCATCTTACTGTCCAATTCTGATGCGTGGCGTAGCCAATAGCTTCATTATCAGGAGTCTGGGCTTCTAGCATAATGACGCGTGTAAATACGGATGCTGCACACTCAGTTTGAGGAAAAGCTCACCGAGTAGCAGTAGTGAAATTGAATCTACTACTGTAAAACAGCGCATACCCTATGCCGACGCAGGACAGGTTAAGGTAGCATGTAGCCTCTGCTCGCTTCCGGGTCTTCTACCTATATCCGTTAATCAGGAGTCAATGGAATCTCATGGCTAACAATGCCAAGTGACACCTCTATGGACGGCACGGAGCCGGTGCCACGCGCAAGAATCGATATACTAAGGCTAGGCTTAACAGCGACCGTGCTGTTGTGTCATCTTTAGCTAAGCCTGTAACAACACATACCCCTACACTGTGCTCGGGCCAAACAGCACTAGGAGCCAGCGAGGCTGGAACCCTGCAAGGGTGATGGAGGACTGTCCGTGCAAAATTGAGCGCGCAGAAGCAAAGGCCAATAAAACATAGTTCAAAGGTTTTTTACAAGTCGTGTGGTGATTAATATGACAAAAGCACGAGTAACGACATGCGTTAGATAGAGGATAGCAAAGACAGTGACTGTTAGTCACAGATGGGAGGTAATAGAACCTAAAGCTGATGGGTTTCGCGAACAAACGCAGAGGTGCGGCTAGGATGGCCAATCGTAAACAGGAAATATTAACATGATTTTAGGACCTCCTGTCTAAATTATCGTTGCCCCACAAGAGTCCTTCACGGCGCTCAAGCATACGCTGCGGGGCTGGTCCTTGTATTTCGCTCAACGATTGCCTTGTTGCCCGCTTTCGTTGCCGCACGATTGCGAACAGTAGGGGCTTATAGAAGGCAGGCTAGACCGATATATGTGTTTCTATACCGTGTTGTTAATTTCGAATCCTTTGCCGATAACATCGTACACTGCTATTTTTGTGGCCCAAAAAGTTTAGTCGACGCCAATGTCGAGCGAATCCCGAACCTACATCACTCAACCACAATCTGGAAATATTTTCTAGATAGAAAGACGTGTCATTTTTCAAGACAGTGTGGATTGACGATTTCGGTAAGTATTGCCAGTTTGAAAGGTCGCCCTCAAGCAACATCCAGAAGCCCTACTATGAGCCGACTACCATACGTAATTCAGGTGGCTAATGCGCCTTGCTCTTAGATCTCTTGAACGTCACACATATCCAAGCACCTGGAGACGGAATACAAGGCTACGTTTAGTTGTTCAGTCATGGCCACCGGATATTCGTATCAATCGCGCTTTGCTTGGGCTTTGCAGGAACAGCAAGACCAAGGGCGGTACTTCTGCCCATACCCAAACCATGGCGGACGGGTCTTTCAAGGTTTTCAACAGTTCCTTGATCATGCCAAAATCAATCATCTCTCGGACTTTGAAGGTCTGGACACACGGCAATCACGTGCTAAACTTCGGGAATTGTCAAAAAGGTTTAGGTGAGCTAGACCTACTTCAGCATGCATGTGCATGCTAGTCCAGTTTCTAACGACCTTAAAAGATCTGATAACTCATCTGTTGCAACGGTAGGAGATAGATCTGCGTCTGACATCGGAGGTCCCACTTTCGACTCGGAAAAGAAACCTCTTCGGACTTCACCGACATCTGGACGGAAGCGCTCTGCTCCTACCGCACATGAGTTCACTGGCTACAAGGGCCAGGCTCTATCTCACGCAGAAGTGGCTGATCCCGGCTACTCGAGGTATACCCCATCTTTGTACCTAACAACGCCCGAGCCCTCCAGTGGATGGTCAACCGATGCCACGAAGAGCAGCAAACTAGCGTCTTCGCAACCTCAGTCTTCCGATCGTCAACCGCAACGAACCATCTGTCGGCCATAGGGCTTATCCCTTGGCTCCTCTTTGGGCAACCAGGCAGCCACCTATTTACCCGCTAGTACCTTTACGGCCTAGCTCCTTCTCTCCTCCCACTGCGTATATAGACCTCTTCCCGATAGCTCTAATACGACATGATGATTCTCCCCAACCTTGACGCTTGACACCATCCCCAAGCCTCAACCATCACAACGTGAATCCAGTATCCTTCATCCTCCACATACTAATCCTAGGTATCCCAGTTTGATTTTACAGCCTGACAGAAGGCCTATCTCACAGGAAGAGCTTGCTTCTGAAGCAAAGTCGATTTACGCTGGCTTAATGATGATTGAGGCTAAGTGTATGCATGTTGACCGTGCTCGAGCTGCTGCCATCGCTGAGGAGGGTGAAGCTAGGACTAATCTTGCTTCCGATCATTGGCAGGCTCTGATTGCACTCCACCGTACTCTGTTACATGAGCACCACGATTTCTTTCTAGCCAGTCAACACCCCTCCTCGTCGCCGGCGTTACGTCGTCTTGCGGCTAAGTACTCAATGCCGGCGCGTATGTGGATGCATGGCATCTACTCATTCTTGAAATTACTTCAAAAACATCTGCCTGAGAGCATAGATCATATGCTGGCTTTCATCTACCTTGCATATCAGATGGTAGCACTGTTATATGAGACGGTTCCCGCATTCGAGGATACGTGGATTGAATGCCTTGGGGACCTTGGGCGTTTTCGTATGGCTATCGAGGACGAGGATGTCCGTGATCGCGAGACTTGGGCCGGAGTAGCACGCTCCTGGTACATCAAGGCTGCCGACAAGAACCCCACTGTAGGGCGGTTGTACCATCATCTGGCCATTCTTGCACGACCACATGTGTTGCTCCAGATGTACTACTACTCCCGGTCTTTGGCTTCTGTCAAGCCCTTTGAGAACGCTCGTGAGTCGATCAAGGCACTTCTGGATCCGCTCGTCCAAGAGTCGCAGCACACTGCCCTGGATGATTTTTCGAACGAGAAGGTCTTTGTCTTGGCGCATGCCTCCCAGTTTGACGATAGTTCCATCGAGGAAGACTCATTTGGCATCAACAAGCCTACTGCCAAGTTTTCAGCATACAAGACAGGATTCTTGGAGAAGTTGGACACATACATCGGTCGTGTCACTGCAAAGTGGAAGGACCAGGGGGTCTACGTCGCCGTGGCCAACATCGCGGGATGGTTCGATTACGGAAAGGACAAAAACCTCATTCGACACGCCTTTCTCCAACAGCTGTACCCACCACCGCCTCCAGAATCTTCGAATGAGAATGACGTCAATGCTAGAGACAACCAAAAAACCGCCCCTCCATCAGACCAACAGGAACCGGAAAAAGAAAAGGATGACGAAGATAAAATTCCATTAACGCCCGAGGAGTGGGAAAAAGCCCAAGAGAGCATTAAAAACAACTGCCACCTCAACAACGCCAGGCTCCTCACCTACGAGACGTCTGTCCTCGTTTTCCGCCGCCTCGGTGACGAGAACGTCCTTCCTCACGTACACGTTATGCTCGCATTCCTTTTCAACGTTGCTTCTAGTAAACACGTTTCTTCTCTCATTGCCGACGCTCCCTGGGCCGCACTCGTTGCTTTCCTGAATGCGCTCATCAAGACTAAGACAACACATAACCTCCCTCATTCGTCGTTTTCAGCCCACCGGATTGTTCGCTGCGTAGGGAGAGACATTAGTCAGTCAGTCGGAAAAGAAGATGTTGATACATTGCTTGCTACTGACGTATTTCCTGGTGAGGGCGAGAGGGTCGATGAGCTGCCGCTGCCAGAGGATTACCACATCCGAGGCCAGATCTGGGCACAGCATTTTCCTGAGAAGTGGTTCGAGAGGGAGCATGATCCAGAGCAGCGGTATCTAGAACTTCCAAGTACGGTAAAGGATCGTGTCAAGAGGGTTTTGGGACTAGGATATCAAATTGCAAAGGCAAGTCCTTCCTATTCATTCCTTCTACGCTGGCTCGTCTAACATATTTCTAGTTCAATCGCTGCATAAGCTACAACAAAGCTTTGCACCGTTTTGATACCCTAACCCCAGTCTCTATGGAGACAGGAGCCTCACACTAACTATACTGTTTCGTTTTTTCGGAGAACATACAACATCTGCCTGCCTAAGAGCAAAGCTTTCTTAGGGAAGGTGGTAGCATTGCAGCATTGGAGGGATATTGCGCTATACTTACTCGATGCTTGAGTTATTGTGTTTTTGCTTGGCAGCAGCAAGCTTTCAAGCAAACCGCTTGTAACCTGCCAATGTAGGTTACAACTGCGAATTTTGTCAATAAAGAACATTTTGTAGATTTGCATAGCCTGTTAATAGGAGAGTATGACCTTGAGACGTTATAAAAGGTCTCAGCTTTCGTTAGCTTATAATGCGTGATTTTGCAACTAACACGTGGTGTTCAAGGTATAGCGAATAGGATGCTTCCTACGACTGCTTTTGAAAGTCACTCAATGCCAGATATTCCATAGCCGAGTCTACCGTAGCCTAGGCGGTAGTGTCTGCATCGCCTCTAGCATGCGGTGTAGCTGAACGCTCCGCAGCTCTCTTCACACAAGCGGTACCCAGAGAAAAGTGCCTTCTGTCTTGTCGCGGCGCACTTGATATATCATCCGTAGACGTTGATCTTTTAATTTGGCACGTGAGCAAATCGGCAAGAACAAGTGCCGAGTTCGCGCACGGACTACAAAGGTTTTGTCAACCCTCAAGGCCTATGCATTGAAGTCGCGTTCACGTTTACGTCTTCGTACGCTGCGGTACCCAATACTAAGCTTCACGTGTCCTGTTTCGCGATAGCAGGGCAAAGTTCTTTCGAAAACGAATCTATCGATGCGCTAATAGTTAGAGGCTGCTAAACAGCTTCTCCAGCAACTCGAAGAAGTTAAATTGGCAAGAGCCCACAACGAACGCGCTCACGGTCAGCCTAGGTCGAGAAGGGCATCTTTAACGCATTCGATTTCCAAATCAGATCTTGCGGCAACTTTCAAGGCGATTGTCGAGAAAGCGCGGTCGGAGCTTGCAAAACTCGGAGAGCTGGAGACAAACGAACAGGAGACACAAGCGCAGGAGACACAGGAACAGGAGACACAGGAACAGGAGACACAGGAGCCGGAACTCTTAGCACTATCCAGCCATGGGCAGGTCGGCGACCAGATTCCCGCAGAATGGCGTAGAATAGAGAGCTCGAATCTGCGCTTCCCATGCTCGCATTCGCAGCTTGGGAAGAACATGGTTGCGACTATCCAACAGGCGCGAGAGAAACTAAATCGCCACAATGTCAACGAGCGCGGATATCTAATACTGGAAGTGCAGAAGTGCTGGGATGTCTCGGAACTTACGCAACTCCTACGCGCTGCTGAGGCATTGGATCGAGATGAGATAAAAGGGTTTACACTTACTCAAGGAGACGCCGACTGTCTACACGCACACGTAGCCCCAGATATTTCGCTAGACCTCTGCGATATAGAAGGGTTCAACGAAGCCTGTGTATCTCATCAGCCAAAGGAAGAGTTTGAGGAGTGGATAGCAAGACCCCCCGACCGCGTTCAATAAAGAACTGTAAAGGACTATCTTCTGTCTTTGTTCGACTGCGACGTAGCCTCTCGTGACACTTGGCAAAAAGTGGCGGCTCGCCCGTGAGGTACGTTAATTAATTGATTCTTGTTTAGACTAACAGGATCCGATAAAGATCTCTGAAGTGCTGGTCGTGCTGTTGATCGTTTCGCCGACACCGTCGGACAACCCTCTAGCGATAACCCCCTGTCTACTTGCGATATAGATAATTTTATCAAACATTAGAGATCTTAGGAGGAAGAGCGGTTAACAAAGACTATGTTTCTCGACTTTAAAGGTCACTTAAACGTAGTAGTTAAGAACTGTAATTCTGCGCCATTGTACCCCTTGCTGCATATAGATTAATCCACTCTGTGGGGTCCAATATCCTTCAAGTTATGAACCATGTGCCGTTCCTAAATCGCTACATTAATATCACTCGTATCCCAAATTACGCGTGTGATGTCATTCACCGATAGTTATCCTCATGGGCTACATAAATTGCTCGCCGTTTCGAGCCTGCACAAAGGTCCTCATCCATGGCACACCATCTGTCGCTGAAAGTATCCTCTAATGTCTCACTGATGGGCCACAGCTTGGGCTTATATGCCTTAGGTCTTTTGAAGCTCGGGAACAGCTTCGCGAAAGTTGACCTAGGAGGTTGGTGCAGAGACGGGGGCAAGAAAAGAGTAATTCCTAACTCGTTGGTCCCCATTGTCTCAAGCTGGATTCGATGTTGAGACATTAATCGCGCCAGACTCCGAACCCGCGGATAAAGAGTATTACCTGCTGCCCTAAGACGCGGATTCTCGTCGTCTTCAGAGTGTTGCAGAATTTTCTTTACGACAGCCTTGTTCGGTACTGCAAATTGAATGGATTGCTTGGTATGTCGCGTGTAATTGGGATAGCTTGGAATCATGATGGGAGCGTGTGAGGGGAACTGTCATCCATTGTCCGCATTATGAGTCGTTGCAAGTGCGAGTATGCTAACCGAGGACACGGAACAGGTCTTGACCAAGGCACTGCGCCATAGTCAAGAAGCAGGAGACCGTTTTGTGAGGTCGTGACCAAAGCAAGGCATGAGAGAAGCGGGTTCCGGATAACCTGAACGATGTAGACTGAAAGTAATATAAAATGTGCTCGGAGCATTGCATCGCAATGTCAACACACAGTGCAGTCTCGCCTTTTGCATCAACATCTACTACCAAGCTGTGTTATGCCTAGAATGCTCAAATATACATGGCCGCTTTTGAGCCTGTGTTCAGCGCAGATTATCCCATTTGATCAATTGCTACCTGTTCTCACGAGTCCAGTAGTCCAAGCGAGAGCTGGAGAAGAACTTCACTATCAGTAAGCCTTTCAGTAACAATATTCATACACAGTCTTATCAAAATGTAAGGTTAAGCAACTTTCGCAATTCAACTTGTCAGGCAACATTGAGCTTCCAAAATGACACCTTCCTACCGTTATCTGTATTCGCGATTCCGAAGAACTGTGCTGGCGACCAGGTGGCGGTACTCCGGATACCCGCAAGTGTGCCGAATGGCCCAGCTGCACTTGGGTGGTATGTAGAGTAAAGTTACTAGATAAATATCTACTAATGCGCGTAGGGAATGTTCTGGGGCAAGCGGTATAGCAGCGGATATCATAGTTATTTCGGGGGGTTCGAGTGACTGGGACCGGTTTGTGGAGGAGAGCGAGGCTGTGCGCATAGCAATGCAGTGTCGGGCCAATGTGACGCACACTAACAACCAATCGCGTAAAAACCCCACAGCCTGCGAATAAGCGCGTCTCACACATTGGTGCGGGACAACTGCCCGTAGCATCCTGGTACTCAACTTAGCGCAGGGCAAATCTTTAATTGGAGCATGGAAGCGCCGCACACGCGTACCGTGTGTCCTAGTGCTACGTTCCACATTGATTCGATCTATCTAGATAAGTAGGTACATGGGCTCTTCTTGAGATAGTTATTAAATTCAATCCATTATCTGAGGTTACTCTACAAGAATGCATTCGGAGATTGAGGCTCAAGCAGCATCTCGCTACTATGGCTGGCAATGGCAGCGATTTCTAGTTCGTAGGTTTCATCGCTCTTTTAAGGCAGAGACTAACTTAACGATTGAAGCTGTTCACCCGACAACAAACGGTACATGTATCGCAACAATGGATGCAAGCTCCAGACAATATGCAGAACGAGATTATTGAACGTGTGAACGCGGCATTGGCGTATGAGAAGATTCCTAAGGTCCCAGACGGGGTCATCCATTGGCGTATGGAGACACTGCTAAACCGCCGTACTCGTACAAGCTATAATGAAGTCAGCTAGATCTCGTCCGCATGCACTCTGGGTTGTATCTGCTAACGATGATAATAGAGTGGATACGGTAGAGACCAAGAGGAGGATCAAACCACGGCCAGCAGTTAAGGGTGACAAAGGCTTGCTAGGTTCCTTCATGTATTCGCTGCTGCACCTAGCTTGAACTGCCATTGTTAATTTTGATCTCTTTTCCATTTATCTGTATTGCCTGCTGGTCTCCGTGATCTTTAGCTGCCCTCCGTGTATAGATACTAGCAAACGTTCCGAAGTTTGGTGGTTAGGGCAGTTCCAGCGGGCTTAACCATCTTGCCAAGCCTTCATATAGCCGAACGCCGTAAGGCCTCTACTGTAGCTATGATAATCTTCATGAACACTAAGTTATCACTATCGTTCGTGACAGAAAGCTGATTTCTACTGGCGAGCACGCACTCGCACTCGCACTGCTAAATTACTGCGCTTAATTACAGCCTCTGTGCCTCACACGCGCACCCACCCTGGTTGCCACGGCGCCTATCTACCGCAAGTGCGCGAGTGCACTTCCACCCTCTGCTAAGTTACCATTCATGACAGTTTACAGCGCCGGTCCTCCTCAAGGGCGCGCGCACACATCTGCCCTCTGCTACCGTTTACAGTGCCCGTCTACCGTTTACGGTGCCCGTCTACCGTTTACGGTGCCCGTCTACCGTTTACAGTGCCCGTCTACCGTTTAAAGTGCCCGTCTACCGCAGATTCGCCCGCTTGTAGCAAGCACACTAACCCTACCTACAACCGTTTACAGCGCCGGTCTTCCGCAAGTGCGCATGTCCTCCTGACTACGCTCGTCCATCGCAAGCACACGTTCCCCAACGATTACGATGTGACGCACCCGTACATTATTAACACGATATTTGTGCACTATGCCCTACTATCCTTGACGTTCTCGTTACAAGAGGCTATACAAATGGACACAGTGAAACGTGTTGGCAGGGTATATCATTGGCTATTTGACTACTATATGGCTATCTACAGAAGGGCAAGAGCTATCAAGTATCCTACCTGCCACATTGCCTTTACACTCGCTGAATTGACTATTGGCGGGGAGACTGCTACGGAACTGGTACTGGCATTTGCGGACAACGTACCAGTAGCGGCATGTGTAATTGTGTGACTGGGGGTGAGGTCTACACTCGGTAGTTCGCATGCGTTAGATGGCTGGGTTTCAATACCTGCCAAAGCATTGTGAAGAAATTGAGCATGCGATCCATGGGGGTTCAGACTAAAGACCATGCCGGCTTGACAATGAGACCGCTTGACCGTCTGAGCGCAGAAGAACCATTTAGGATCTTGATCGACAACCTTGAACTCCACCACAAACTTCCCGCTCGTGTTTGTTGGATTAAACTGGTGAAACCCAGAGTCAAATAATTGGTTACTTCGGCATGGATCCCAGAGTTCACTCTGTGTCAAAGTATGGTTGAGCCCAAGGAAGTCGAAAACAATGACTGAACCAATGGTAGCATTCAAGGATGACGGTGAGAACACAAGCTTTCCTGCTTCGCCGACAGTGACAATTGCCGTAGGATGGGGCACTGGTGTGGTTCCTGTAGGGTATGATATATCTGTGGCTCCTGTAGGCTGCAAGGTATGTGTGGTATTCCAACCCCATAGTGAGGTTAGATTCCATGGCAGATGTGATGTAGGATTGGCGATCTCGGCAGTTGTACGCGATGCATGTGGTAACGAAGTGCTGAAGGATGTATGCAAAGAAGAACTGTTGCTCCATGCCCGCATGGATATCTTATGGGGTCTTTGGTAAATCTGTGGTCTTTGGTATGCTGGAGTGGCAGCCAGCACCACGGTGCTGACACAGTACCACCAAATGAGTTGAAAGGTAGCCATTGTCTCTACACTCAGCAATCACAGTCTAAGTTTACTGTTAAGTAGTGCATTAGCTATGCAGATGTCGGAATACTGCAAGCCACTTAGGACTTGAACACGATATTCGGTTTCCTGCTCCTGTAATGGCATTGCCAAGGCGCGCAATCCGGGTTCTGGTCTGCCGGATCTCAGACAACGATAGTTATACTACTGGGTACGGGATACAGACTCTGGTAGCGCTCTATAAAGGCATCCACTTGTCAGTTATCTTTTTCGCAGAAACATCATCCATCCACACAATTAAGCAGGACTTAATATCTTTAACTCAGTACATTACACTCATACAAACTTAGAAACCACCATTCTATAACCACCATCATGGCCACCCAAATTGCCCATCCCTCTCTCCCTATCGGCCAAGACGCTGGGTTCCAGAAAAACACTCAGCCAGCTTGGAAAGGAAAAGAAAAGGCCAAGGCTAAACAGCTACATGCAACAGCAGAAGACGATTCCGACGGGCAGAATGGCCCTGGATTGAGCAGCAGTAGCAACAAAAAGAAACTCATCACCAATGGAGAAGACGGCGGTGGCGAGATTGAGGAAGTGCAGCGCAGTGACGAGGAACTTGATACAGAGACGGAAGAAGAAGATGATGATCCCTTCGCTTCCTCGGGATCTTCTGATTCCGAAGCTCCTCCCGATGAAGATGAAGCAACTGTTGCAGCTCGCAAACAGGCAAAGCGTGATCGGAAGAAGACTGAGACGGATGAACAACGAAATGCGCGAAGACAGGCGACCAAGGCACGCCGGGACTTACAGGACGAGCGCCAAGTTGCGGAGACCGCCAATGCAGGAATAGTTGGCTACATGGAAGCACGTAAGGAGAGAAAGCCACCATCTGAACGTCCACAAGAAGTCGAAAAGATATGGCGCAGCCTGTATCCCATATTGAAGACTTGGTGGAAGGAAGGCGGGAAGGAAATACCCAAATCACATATGCGTTCCATCGACGCCGCGCAGTCCAAGATTAAGAAGTACTGCGAAACGCTGATCAATACCCCTGAGCAAGTTGAAGCTACCCACCGTTACCACCGCGAGTGGCCGCTTGAAGAAAAGAAGATTCGGTCTGCCAATGCTGGAGTCTCAGATGAGCAGCTTGAGCCTATCTTGACGAAAGCAGAAAGGAATTTTCGGCAAACAATCGGCATGAAGGACTATAGCAAGGATGGCGAGGACACTTTGGCCGATCTTCAACATAAATACGGGTTTCCATATGAACTACTCCATGGTCAGATTCATACTATGGGTAAAGAACTCACAACTGTTAAAGAACTCACAAAGGACAAATTCTTGAAGACTAAGATAGAGGACCTCGAGGAAGCGTTACGAAACACGTCTTCTAGGAAGCAAGTGCAGAGACTCGAAAAGAAGTTAGCGACTACGAGAAAATTAAGGGAAGAGAACGACAAGAAGACCACTGCATTCCTCCGCGGAGTACTGTTGTTCATGGAGAGCTTGTCTGATCTAGGCATTACCCCAACATCAGTTATATCGAGCACAGCAATGAGGGAATTCAACCTCTTCCTCCAGTCCTCAGACCAACATCAGGAGCTTTATCAGAAGCTATCTCAAGAGCTAGAAAAGCCGACTCTTGAGCAAGTGGAGTCATGGGAACTAGTAGCTAACCCAGTATATGAACTCGTGGAGACCATGCGCAATCGGGATGGCATGATTACAGACGAGCAGATAAAGACTGCGAAGGGTCAGATGAGGTTGGTCAAGACACAAAATTATAAGTTGCAGCTTGTGAACGAGAATAGCGGATTCGATGCGGATATGAACTCGGTGCCTGTTTCCATACTGAATGATATGATGGATCAGTGGCAAGCTGGTAATTCGGATACCGTGGATGCCAACCTGGAGAGGCTACTGGACCAACTCCGTACTAAAGAGCCTGCTAAGGATGTTTTGAAGTCTTTAGAAACTCGTATCGCTCCCGCCAATTCTGCGCGTCTTGAAGCTACCGCCAATCCTAAGCGCTTTGAAGCTATTTTGCACCCTAAAACTCCCATCGCTTCTGGTGTTCCTAAAGTACCAGAGATGGCCGGATCGGGTAACTCTACGCGCTCAGTATCAACACCACCTATCCCTAGCAGGGATGTAATGGAGAAAGACCTACTTGATATGGATATCGATTCAATGTCGCTAGATAACGACCGTATTAAGTCCTTTACATACGATAATGGAGAGACTGAGTTTGGCACGCTGGTAGCAACTCGCGCTTCTCTATCAGAAAATCCACGCTTCCATCGGTTCATTGTCAACGCTGGCGTAGGAGAAGAGAAATGGGAATTCTTCCAGGTTATTAGGGGAAGCGATTTGGGCCCAGGAGGCGCTGAAAGCATGCCCGAAGACAAAGAGATAAAGTTTGATTTGAGAGACAGGAAGAAAAACCTCAAAGCTCACCCTCTATGTGAGGTCGGCCCTTGTGTAGTTATGTCCCGTGCGGAGGGATATGTCTGCCGTGCTGGTACCAAGCCACGCCAACCGGACACATACATCAGAGTGACCTACACGGGGCTTGATACTGCAGATTGGTTGAGCAAGACTGAATTTATCCAGCTTGCTGGGAAAAGATATGCGGAGCGGAAGCTAGCTAGTTTGGTTCCAGCTTACTACCAAAGGGAGAAATACTTTGCAGCCTGCAAAGCTCAGAAGCGGCATCCCAAGACGAAGATGCCTCTGACAGCCGAGGATCTGGAGAATTATCCATGGCTATTCCCAGAAGAAGACAGACTTTCGTATAGTTACGGGGAAGTCGACGAAGAGGAGGAGACAGCGAACAGCTCTCTCACTAGGAATTTCGGAGATATTTCAACCTCTGAAGCATTCAGCAAGGCTAGAAAGCCCTTGCCCGGTTACAATACACATAAGAATGACTTGAAAGAGGAAACTGATGAAGATTTGTAGCCATAAGCGGATAGTATAGGGCCTTAATGTGACAAGAAGAGTGAGTTATAGGTGACATTGGTAGTATATATCTCGTAGGACAATCAAATATCTAAAGTACTTAGTCAAGGCTGAGCTACCTCTTAGTTGACTGCGAGGAAGTGACTTTCATTTTGATATAGAGCACAGTTGAAAATCAACTAAGTATTATTAGCAAAAGCTGACAGTTTTGTGGTGTTTCCGAACATACGATAAGAGAAAATCGCAACTCAGCATTCCATATGACACCTCGCCTAGCAATGTCTGCTGTAATGGCTTCTCTCGTCGACATCTCTAGCGCGTTGTCTTCGAATATGAACTTGACGAGTTCGTTGTCTGTTGTGACAGCTTGCAGTGTGCAAAGAGCCTGCCACTCATCGGCATTGCGGGAAAAGACCTCAACGAGCTTTTGCATACAAAGTGCGTCAGGTCTATGATCTTTGTACGCAAACATCGTGTACAGTGCCTTGTATCCGCTTTCCGTATCGTTTATTGTCGTCCCATGCTCAATATCTCGGGGCGCCAGATCGATACGAGTTCCAGCATGTAGGCTAGCGCGCGGGCTATCATCTGTCCTTCGTGCCCATACATACGCTAGATGAAGCCCTTCTAAGGAGATGAGGGAATGTATGATGCATAATGCCTTGTAAAAGTTAGCAGTACTTACATCTGTATGCTCCAGTTATACATACCGCAAGAAGAAGCTGATAAGGGATTGTCTCTTTCGAGAGGTAAATGCAAATCGCTAACACAGCCAAGAAGTAACCGAGACTTGTAACCCAATAGCTCCAGATACAATGGACAATGGCGATCCATATATAGACGAGAAAAATAGCAGTTATCGAGATGATCTGAAGGCATCGGGAAAGCAACAAGCTGGACAGCCATCAGTCCTAGGTCCATATAACGGATTGCAGATATATACTTGGTATTCCAGATAGTTCCGACCACAAGAAAAACAGCTAGACCACATGTGAGTACATGGAGAATCTTCTGCCACCGGCAGGCTGGCCAGTTAAAGACCCCGATCTGTCTTCATTAACATATGTCATCTGGAATAATCATGGCCACTTACCCAGTCCATATATGCCAGGAGATATAGTACTAAGAGTAACGTAGCGAGTGTGTAATTGAGTGTAGACTGAAGCAGGCATTCAAGTATACCCACTCCACATAGAGCGGACACAACGACTTGCAGAGTCACAACAGCTCGATCTAAAGGCTCGCATAGATCTCTTACTCGAAGATAAAAGTAAATTAGTAGATTGACGAGTCGAAAGAAGAGTACAAGCGAGAGGCCTAATATAGAGACAGTGTTGGAAGCGCTCATCATGACAATGGAGGAGGCTGACAAGTAAAAGTAATTTAGAAGACAGAGAAGAAAAGGCTTCTTAATATATCCTGAGCGCCTCGTAGTGGTCTTGGCTAACATCGCTAGCCCCTAGTTAGATCGTGGGCCTCCGTCTAGGTGGCCTCGGTTTTATGCACAGGAAGTATTACGCGTATTCAAACGTCACGTACCTAATTATCGGATCACTTCCTACTTTTCTTTATGATGTCTTTCCTGTAATTTCGCTCTACCGAAAGTACTTATTGTCATATTCACCGCAACTAGTAGGATGTGGAGATGAAAAGCTATTGTAGAATTGCGGAAACCGCCCCCACTTAGCGGACCGCAAGAGCCATCGGACGTGCCGGAGAAGGTGCTTGCATGTGGCCACGCCTTATGCGATCCATGTATTAGGATATTCAGAATTGACTCCCGCTCTATGAGAAATACATACAATTTCACAGAATGTATGTTGTGTGGAGTTAACTACAAGAGTTCTGTATTTCATTTTGTACCTCTAACAGCGGGTATACGCATGCTGAGTGTTCGACGGAGGCGAGGTCAGAGGTGTGATACCTTTAAACTCCCTCCAACAACTTAACTCTGCACTTGCTCCGCTTAACTGTGCGATTAAGGATCATTTCGATTTCGTATGCGAAATATTAGCTAGTAAGAATCTCAAAATATTCTAGAGATAACTAACTATTGCAAGGTATGCTTACATTACTACAGGACATCGGATATGCCGGGACTGCTTGAGGACCTGGTTAGCTGCTGAACATAATATGACTATCGCTGAAACGGACAACAGCACGCTTATGGTCACTTGTTATGTGTGTGAGGACATACAAGAGTCTGGTGATCTACTGACTTTGCCCTCGATCGAAGACAAGCCGAGCAGCAAACTCATGTCGGCTTGGAGCGTCAGTCTGGGGGAGGGAGGAGAGGAGGGGGTGTAGCTAGATAATCCTTGGTTCTTTGTCGTGTAGTTATGCACAAGAGAAGACTAAGTACAATTCCTACGGTGTCGGGGTTAGGTTTGCTACACGATGCCTTACTTGCGTAGTATGCCAAAATCTCTGTTAAAAGCCTGCATCATCAAGGCTCCAATGACGGCGACTAAACCTGAGAAGGGAAAGGAAGGAAAAGTAGATGACGGCCACCGAGGCGGAGGAACCTCAACAACGTCGCCATGAATAGTATTAATGCCATGTTAAAATTGTATTGACGCGGCGATGGAAATGTATATAGAGGAGAATTGCTACATAACATGAACGAAAGGGGCGGTATTCAAGCGAAGGAAGGGGTTTTGCCTTCTTTTCGCAATGCCTACTACTTACAGCTAGACGACCACCTTATTACATTGATCTCGAAACCCCTATCACGTCTTTCATACAGTCGGAGATCGAATAGGGCCCTTCCACATGCTAAACAGCGACAAGACGGCAAACGGCACCTATATCCTACAGCTTATGACATCACGGAAACGACATGAAATGTTGTATTTCGAGCAGGCCCTGACGCAACGTATTCATGAAGATGTCCATCAGAAAGTCGATATTAGGAATATGGTTCAGAACAAGAGTGGCTGTGTAAGCTGATTGGTTGGATTCGCAAGAGTTATGGGGCCGTTGCCAATGAAACGACAGCGAGGCGGTGAGGCTGGTGCCACAAGGCTGAAGAACTCTCGCGAGTATGCCAAGTTTTGCGTGGCTCACCTACCGCCCGGATCAACCAGCTACTCTTGCCACGTCACGCTCAAGAAGTTCCACAGTCATCGCATCACGTATCGCCGCAACAACAGGAATTCAAATCGCAATGCAATCTAGCAGTAACGCACACGTCTCAAAACTTCAGTTGTCTAGCGACCTTGAAAAACTAGTGTCGGTTTTGCGCGATGACACATTACGTACTTACGCGCGTGGGGTTACAATTGCAACATCACAAGCCGCATTCAACATCGATCGGCATACGGGCATTCGAATACGCATTGAGCAGATGTATACAGTACGTTCACAATAATAGCATGTACACTATTATACTAACGTCTTAGAACAAAAAACTGTCTCACTCCTTCGGTGCTGTCCTAGGGACAGGAACAACCGTGTTTTCCGGACCGTATTCCTACGCCATAGTCTTCGTAGACCAGCTTGATAAACCCGAATTTCTAGTCAATGGAGAGATTCTAGAAAACAACCAGCTCGTTCACTGCCATGACCCAATTTGCGTCTCGGTCAACTCTGGAAGGTTGGTGGTATTTGCGTTCGCATTCCACAAAGCCTGATCATGATCGAAGGGCTGATCGAAGGGCATACTAGAACATCCCCAGGGATCAAACTCGGGGTGTAGGTTCGTTTTGTATATAAAGTAGCTCGTTGTATCATGCGGGTGATATGAGCAATCATAAGTAGGATATGAGTGATGAGGCAGTATATGCTCAGATTGGACCCCTGGTACCGAGCTGGTGGTTGTCGCGTCATGTTCAATGCTCGCTTACCGTAGTCAGCATGATATGCAGTTAATGCACGGTATTAGCAACTTACGTGCTGGTGCCGAGAACACTCTTTTCAGGAACTTGTCCTTGGTGAGGTATTCATCTAGAAGCATTCTGGCGTTTGTGCAGCTGCTTATCAACCAGGAAAACCTTCGTTGTAGGAGCCCGAATTTTTCCCGAGGCATCGGCGGTACTTTTGCATATGCTAATAGCAAAAGAAAATCGCGTCCCTGCTGATCCAGATGCGCGATGTCAAATGTCGTACTGGCGAGCCTTAGATAGGACCTTTGACGCGCGGACAATTCGCGTTTTTTGTATGACTTGGAATTCCCAGCTATGTCCCAGCTGATTAAAGTCGTTCTAACCTTCTCCCACAAACACCTTACTTGGTTTGCGTCTTCTTTAGCTTTGCAAATAGTATTGACGAACTCATTACCTATCTCCGTTGACAGGGTAGTATTGTGACCGTCAGACACAGGTTTCGGATGAGGCCGGGGCTTGCTGAACTTTTCTTGGAGTTTCGCAATCGCTCGTGTACTGAATTCGGCGTTTGGTGTGGCTAAGATGATTTTGATCGCCGAAGCCAACTCTTTGCTTGGTCTAGGCATCGCAGAGGCGGTCACTGGGCTATGAAAGCAACGGGCGGGGTTGGGTGAACAGGTGCGGAGATGCGAAGATTGGGTCGTTGCAAGGGTGGACGTGTACTGTAGAAGATGTGTGCTAAGTATGGCGTTGCAAGAACAGTCGTTGTACTGTGAAAGACGGTCGCCGTGGTGTGAAGTTAAGAGTAGGTGCTGTGCTTTAAAGGATGGCGGCCACACTGAGAAGTATGGCGGCCACACTGCAAAAGATGGCCGCCATGTAATGAGGGCGGGTGGCCGGCCTTTATACCCCAAAGAAAGCTAAGGGGTTGAGCCGAGTCCACTGTCTATTAAGTACTGACCTTCCTCCATAGCAAACGTAAGGTAACTTTTTCTTGTACTATCCTCTTTATTCTTTGACAATGGTACCAGACGCTACAAAACTCTCAGCTGGCCTGCTTTCTGGTTTTGTTCTTGTTGTACGAGCTCTGCACGCCGTGACGGTGATGTTGGCTGTTTGGCGAGTGCTCTCCTATCTTCGGTCATGCGGCATCAATGTCTATGCATGGTACAATAGCCGCCGTCTTCTACTGGTAATTCTCTGCCAAAGCTTGCCGCTACTACCCTGCATCTGCGCTATTACAGTGGCACTTACCGGTCCGCCTTCTCGCGCGCTTCAACTCCATTTGATAACGCTTGGAACTATCGACGTCGCCAATGTGGTGGGTAAACACTATCATTTCAAATGCTATGGCTAACCTGCATAGATAAACTCACGAAAGTGGCTTCGACCTGAAAACGACGCTTCGCGGCGACGTTGGTCTTTTCGGTTTTTTATGGCGCTCCTCTGGCTTGCCGTTATTGCAGGTGTGATATACATTGACGAGACATTCCCCAACGCCTACGGTAATACTGCTGTTCTAGGCAGCAGTTGCTTGATCTTAGCATACTTGTGGTACCAAGCAAGATCTAAAGTGGCAACGGGCCGGATAGAGACCTGGCGTTACACACTTTGCGAGATGTGGGAGATTCTTATCAGCATCGCGCTGCTTATGTTAGCCATTCTGATAACTATTTTCACTGTCACCAAAACCGAGCGTTATAAAACCGCCTTTCGATATCTACCTGCAGTTAGTATTCACTACTCCTGCTCTATACCATAGAGGCTAACAAATAGTATAGGCTCTTTGCATACTGTATCCATCCTCGTTTAAGGCTACTTGGCACCTCCTACACGTACGACCCAGCGTAGACGTTGGAATCTTCAAAATCCGACACACACCAGATCGTGGACTTGGAGCTTCAGAACGTACATACGAGCAGTGTCCTTGAGGTTTTTTCCGGACAGCTAGCGGCGGCCAAGAAGAAATTCATAAACTCCCAAGGAAGTTAGGTAGGAGGAACAAAGAGACGCTGCGTCCACTTTCGGCATTTGCTAGAGAAAGACTGCGTTTAATATTTTCCCGGGGGAAAGGGAGAGCATTTCGGAGAATAGGCTGTAGATGTAGTACTTGCTACATGATCGATCATGCAATACTCTTTCGCTATGAGTTCCGCTTAATTGCGCCACGATCACTCATCGAATATATTTTCAAGATATGTCTTTATCGCGTCGTACTAGTAGTTATTAATTATGCCATCGTTATTTGTGGTTTCGAGTACATCTAAAACATATTCCTGATAATTCTAAGCCGTACTGTTTTCTAGAACTGTACTGGCGCGAGCGCTCGTAATAAACCCGTTGTGATCATTGATTTGGGTTACTCACCAACTACGAAGAAGCAACATAGACTAACGGGAGTCGCGCAATGCATTGTATCTGTTGGTCGAAAAGTCCAGGTACTATAACCAAAGAAGTAAGGGCGCTCAAACGGTTCTTCTGAGAGCTTACACTTGATCTAGGTGAGTTATGAACCGTCTCGTGCGACAACCAACAAGCAATTAGACTTGTTATGGACAAAAATGAGAGGATCGCGACGTGGCTAAGTTAGGCAAACAATCTAAGTACAGGATGAAATCACCTTTTATCTACTTAGAAGCAAGATATTGAGATCAATGAGCAAGAAGCTCAATCCTCGAGAAGGCAGGCCCAATTGCAAAAGACAAGGAGATCAAGCAGAACGCAAAAGAAAACACGCAAAAAGACAGGAAGATCATTCCTTTCGCAGAATAACAATAACGCCTACCTGCTCATGCTGTGAAGCCTGACCGATCACGTTGCCGGGCAAGACCGCCTCGTCAACCCTCCTCTTGAATGTGGACGCATGTTCCTGCAACACTTCCACGATAGCACAATCCCGCTGAGCTACAGACATTGATAACCAGTTGAAGACCATGCGCGGAATCCAAATAGCGCTCGTGCGACCTCTGCATGCCCAGCCAGACTGGTTCTGCGGCAGCAACTGATGGATGATCTGCACGTGGGACATGTCCACTAACGTCGATGCAGGGAGAGAGGGATCAAGGACAGGGAGGCCAAAGCAGTCGCCTTTACCCAAGTGATGAGCCCTGTCAACCACAAAGCCAGCTGCATTGGCTGCCTCAGAAGCTTGCTGAACGGCTATCGACCAAAACCTAGTGGGGGACAGTTGCATAGCGAAAAAGACTTTGTTGAGCGGCCGATCAAGGCCTCGAGGAACAGGCACGGTTGGGCCGTTCATGTAGCGCATAACAAGCAACGAGCCTGGTGCTTCTGTATAGGGCGAAGTCCTGAATTGCACAGGGACGGCGGACTCAGCGGGCGAAGGCGCGAAGTTGGCGAAGCGGGCGGACATCGACACAATGAGGCGTCCATCAAGTTTGAGCAGCTTGTGCAAGTTGCGGAGGATGCCAAGACGCTGATCGGGTGGGATGGTGTTGAGGAGGTGTAGGGCGAATATGCAGTCGAAGGACGGAGGAGCCTGAGGCACTTGAGCGATGCGGTCGCGCAGCGCATCATCGGTAACGTTGGCATGCATAAGGTGAACTTGTTGCTGGCTTGTCCCGAGAGGATACACCGTGAGGCCTGCGTTGCTGAGCTGCCAGGGAATGTCGAGGTCGAGCAGGCCTTGTACGGCGTCGATAGCGAGGCAAAATCCATCACCAACAACCTGCTTGGCAGCCGCGATGAGTCGACCTGAGCCAGCACCCACCTCGAGGACGCTCTGCCCTTGTTGAAGGGAGGCTAGCTGAAGTGCACGTTGTACGTCAGGATGATGAGCGGAGCTCATATAGTCGAATACACCAACCATGGGTTGGTAGGCGTTCGTGATCTCGCTGAGGGTTCCGTAATAGACCATGATGATGAAGTTGAAGTTGGTTATGGATATTAGAATTAAGTGTGGATGAAGTGATTGAAGGCTCATTTGATGATTGCAGTGATGGTGATTAAGGAATTGAGACTAGAATTGGAAGAGAAGGACAAGAGAAGCGAGGCAAGATCAGACACCTCTCACCCAGAGACTAGCAATATACGATTCGCTGCTGCCTGGTGGTTTCGTCGAATCTCCTGATGTAGCTAGTCACCTAAGAACCACAAAGCTAGGAGCAGATTTCTAAGCAAAAATCATTTCACCGGCCACTCAGAGCGGAGCAATCTGATCAAATGAGCCTGAACCTGCTCACTCCAAATGCGCCAGCCCCGATCCAAGACTACGACGAAAATTGGTGAAAAGCTAATTAATTAGCTGAAATCTGGACACAGATCGCACAGCACAGATAAATTGAGGGAGAATCAATCCAAAAACAGGCTGGTTGTCGGTGGAAACCAGTCTGAGGGGTGTGTTGTGGAACAGGACGTTTGGGATCACGTGCGTATCGCCGGATCACGTACCAAAGGTCAGGCCAAGTCAAGGGAATGGCCGAAGCCAATCGATTAAGCTTATTTAAAAGTATACATTCTAATCAAACGATCTTTTGTTGTAATCAATGCAGTAAATCAATGTGTAACCGTGCGAGGAAGTAATCGGAGTATATTGTCTTGTGTATTCTGTGCTGTTCCTTGTGCTTCCCTCTCGGAAGGCAGCAGCAGGGACTGTTTTTATGACGTATCTATGATGTAGCTGAGGTAAGAGATGCTGGTTAACGTGACAAAGCAGCACCAGGCCAGCGCCACGTGGTACACATGATTCGCTTCTCCTCATAACCGCCACACTATTTGTGAGGAACACTTGACCGCTCGACCAACACTGCACCCGAGACTACCACCTTCAAGATGGGTGCCAAAATGACCAAAGAAGACGGGCTAAGTACTGCATCAATCCAGAGGATGTACGCAGCTCGAGCTATCGCGGCAAAGAGGGCATACGAGCACAAATTCAGAATGCCAAGTGCAAAGAGCGACCACCCGGCACCCCCCCAAACAGATGATAAGGACCCAAAGGATAAAGAAGACTCTGTCGAAGCAGACGAGAGGGCAACAAGCGATAGCTCTTCCACGTCGCCCAACGCCCCGCCAGAGACCGAACGCCCCACAAGACCCAACACTTCTCTGGCAAGCAGAACCGTTGCAGAGGCCATCCGAAACACCGCAGGTACCCCCATCACTATGAAAGTCGCCCTCGCAAGCTACCACCTCGCAAACGCCATCCGTGCCTTCGGTCGAAAAGCCAGTTGCGCATTCGACAGAGCCATCGAAGCTCTGCGCCAGATCGACATCATCGACGTCGCAAAGGCAGCCACCAAATGGATGAAAGAGCATCCTTGGGAGACGGCCGCGATTCTCGTTCCGCTCATCCTCCTCGCCTGCACTCCGGCATTCCTGAGCATCGCTGGTTTCACGGCTGGCGGTATTGCTGCTGGTATGTAGATATAATCAAAAGATAAGGGCTTTAAGTGCTAATGAGTGAGCAGGAAGCATTGCAGCAGGCGTCCATGCAGGCATCGGAAGTGTTGCAGCTGGTTCGACATTCGCAATCCTCACGAGCGCTGCGATGGGCGGGTATGGTGTGCCGATCGTATTTGGTGGCGTCTGGGCTATAAGCACTGCGGTAATGGGCGGAATCGCGGCTTGGAAGAGATGGCGAGGTGGAGGTAGCGGTGGCGGTAGCGGTGGCAGACTTCTCATCGGGGGACACAACGGCGATGGCGGAGATGGTGGTGGCAGCGATTCTGACGATGACTCGATCCCAGTCAGGAACGGCAACCCGAGTGGAGGTGGTGGTGACTGCGGCGAGACTGCTGCTGTTGACAAGCACGCAGCAGTCAAGAAGGAACTGATCAAACAGGACTGAGAAGGGTTCCACGAGACCAGTATGTAAACGACTTAGGCTACGGAAGAAAAATGTGAGCAAAGCTCGTAAGCGGAACACCCTAACTCGTCACCTCCTCTATGTAGAGAATATGTATCTCTGCAAGCCCTACGAGCGTACATAACTGTAGAGCTTTCTCACTTCCACGGCGGCTCCCCTAAAATGAAACCTTCCTCTATTGTGATATTCAGTCGGATTGCTCCTTCGCTTAGGAGCAGGAATACCGAGGCATGATTATCGCTCATCCCATTCGGCTGCCGGCCTAGAGTGTGAATTACCACACGAAGTGTGCGAAACGTGGAGCGAGAATCTCGGAAGTGCGCAATGTATTAAAGTGAATGCAGTGAATTAAAGTGTAACCGCGAGAGGTAGTAATTAGGGTCTAAAGTGTATATTGTATTGGAACAAGGTCCCTCTAGTAGTATGACTACTATGGATAACCGAGTGGGAGGAGGGACAAGGCGGGGTGGCTGCAACGTATTGTATTGACTATCGTGTCATATGTCAAGCTCTCAGGCTGTTGTGGTGGATGCCATTGCCCACCGGGCAGTGCCTGCCACACCAGCACATCATGTGACCCCCAAGCACCTTCTACCTGGACTGAACCCAGATATTCTCAACACTCCCCCTCAGGACAGGTCCGGTCCGTAGACAACTCCCAGTTGGTTCTTGAATCTTTCAAATGCAACTCGCTGTAAAGGCTTTGTCATTCCGTCAGCAACCATGTCTACAGTTGGCACATAGGCTACATCAAGTTTGCCTTGTTCTGCCAGGTCCCTGACATAGTGATAACAGACGTCGATGTGCTTTGATCTTTCGTGGAGGTGAGGGTTCTTTGTAAGTGCGATGGCGCCCTAGTTGTCTCCCAGCATCTGAACCTTGTTGGTGTCTTTTCCAATGTACTTTGGGAACCCAAGGTCTCTGAACACTTGAGCAATCCACTGGCCTTGCTTGCAGCATGTTGACAGAGCTATGTACTCAGACTCGCAGCTTGATGTAGCGACTGACCGTTGCTTCTTGCTAGACCATGATATCGGGCCTCCATAGAACATTGCAGTGCTTCCTGAAACGCTCTTTCGGTCAACCACATCGCTTGCCCAATCAGCATCAGAGTAGATAACAAATTGTGAGTGTGCTCCCCCTGGTCCATAGCGTAGTTTCATTGAGACCGTCGATCGAAGATACCGTAGCAGGTTTTTCAGTGCATAGCCATGGTGTTCTGCTGGATCGCTCATGTGTTGGCTTAGCTTCCCAAGGGTGAATGCAATATCTGGACGTGTAAGAACCATAGCGAACATCAGGCTTCCAATGCCCTGTTGGTACTCAGTTGTGTCAATTCGAGTGTCGTTGTCAGTAGCTGGTCTGAATGAGGTGTAATCGGCAGATGGGATCTTCTTATCCTTGTGCTTCTTGCTTGACATTCCAAACTTTTCAAGTACTGCACACAGGTATTGCTCTTGGTCAAGGAAGATTGTACGGTGCTTTCTGTCTCTCGTAACTCGCACTCCAAGGACCTTATGTACCTCCCCTAGGTTCTTGGCGTTGAATCGTCCAGAAAGCTTCTTCCAGAACCACTCAGTCTGAGATTGCTCCTTTGCCGCTGCAAGGACGTCATCGACGTAGACCAGGATTCGAATCTTTCTCTCCTTATGGACAAACATACAAGGGTCTGCAAGGCTTTGCACAAATCCCCATGCAAGAAGCTCTTTCTTCATTAACAGGTTCCAGTCTCGCGCAGCCTGTTTTAGTCCGTAAAGGCTTCGGAGTACTTTCAGGACATGTCCTTTCTTGACGTGAACTCCCTCAGGTGGCTTAAGAAGGATCAGTTCCTTAAGGTGAGACTCAGTGAACGCGTTCTTGATGTCATAATGAAAACATTCCAAGTCTTCTGCTGCGACAGTAGCTAGGAATAGACGTAAGGTGTCCATGCGAACTGTTGGTGCAAAAGTCTCGTTATAGTCGATTCCATGTACTTGGGTGAAACCCCTAGCCACAAGGCGTGCCTTAAATCGTTCAACTGTCCCATCTGGCTTAGTCTTGATTGTGAACACCCACTTTGAATCAACCATGTTGGCGTCTTTAGGCGGTACAACTTCTTCCCAGGTTCCATTCTCTATCAGTGAGGTAATCTCCTCCAGCACTGCTGCTTTCCACTGATTTCCGTACCTTAGGTCACGGATGGCTTGTTGATATGTCTTAGGGATCTGGATTCCTGCGATCTCTGTTGCTGGAAAGGCCTTCTCAAAAATATAGGCGTCTTCGTCTGTTTCTTTGTCCGTAAGATTAACTTGTGCTAGCATAGCTTTGATAATCTTGCGGAATCTTTCATCTTCTGCAGTGTCTTCGCCAGCCCTCTTGCGCTTAGACCCTCTTGTGAAGTATCTTGGGGCTTCTGGCAAGGATTGGACAGGTTCCTCGGATTCTTCAGTTGCCAGATCAGGTACTCGCTCATCTCGAGAGACGGTAGTAGGAGGAGCGGTAGTCAACTTCCTTGGTCTTCCTCTTCTACGCTCAATCGGCTCAGGATTCAGCTCCACTTGTTCTGCAGGCGATGTGTCCATTTGTTCCGCAGGAGGTGGCTCCATCTCTTCTGCAGTCGGTGGTTCCACCTGTTCTGTAGCAGCTTGTTCTGTTGGTTGTGCAGGAGTCGGTTCTGCAGGAGTCGGTTCTGCAGGAGCTGGTTGAGTAGGAGTTAGATCTTTCCTTGGTCTTCCTCTTGGTTTTCGGTCTGGCATAATGTTCTGCGTTCCTTGTGGTCCAGCTGGGATGTTCCGCAATCGCAGTTCGACTTTTCCTCCAGGCGTGTATTCATCCACAGATATACGGCTTGATCTTGAGGTGTATCCCAGTTCTGGCGAGTAGAATTTGAACTGCTTATTTGTTGTCTCAGAATATCCCATGAATACTCCAATTCTACCGCGGTCCACGAGCTTGTCATGCCGTTGATCTGCTGGGATTGTCTTGGGGTTGATGTAGGAATAGCATCTACTCCCCCATACACGGATGTGATCAATTGATGGCGTTCTTCCCGTGAATGCCTCTTCAGGGCT